ATTCTTCCACATACTTTAAATGAAAGTGTTTTAATTGAACAATTAGGTATCTTCATATTTGTGTTGATTTCTAAGACTAGTTACATTTATTTTTGGATGCTTAGGTTCTCTTGATAACTCCCCATCTCTTCCAGATTTCATTAGTCACTGAGCCCTGCTGATTTTGCCTTTTTCTCCACTAACTCTTTATCAGATGCTTCTATTAAGACTTATTTTCATTGTCTCATAATCAATTATTTACATGTCTGAGACAGTGACTTGCTGAAGGGCAAGGATCTCATCCCACTGTCACCAAGCATTGACTTAGATGCTCTGTAAACGTTTGTTGAATAAATGGGTGTAATTTCATCAGCTGCCCCTCAACACCCCTGAACTTCTGTCTTTTTTTTTCTCTCCTGATACTTGACTCACTGACCAAAGAGTCTCTCTTCCAAGTCTGCACAGAAATCTAGCTCAAATATAATTAAATGTGATTGCCAGCACCCAGGTACTTCTGTGACTTACCTATCTTCATCACACTCTCTATGCAGAGCTGCAGAAAATTGAGAATTGATCCTCCCAAACTGCATCCTTCTTGGACCACTCAGCTCATAAGGGGGCTGTTCTTCTACAGCTCCCACAATTTACTGCCCAATTGATTCTTACTCTTTTCTGTGTCTCCCTTAATCTTGCAAGAGTTAAACTCTCCTGTTATTGCTTTGCCTGCTTTTTTCCCCTTCAATCAATGAAGTAGGTTTGCTGGACAAGGAGAAGGCCTCTATTTTCATATGAATTGACTGTTATGACCTGTCCCCCTGAGACCCAAGCTCCTGAAAGTCACCATATCTTTGAGTCCCAAGAGCCCCACATGGGACCTGACTCTAGGAAAGTGTTCACTCACTGTCTGTAAAATCAGAATATTTAAGAAGTCTCCATGCAATCATGCTTATTGTTCTCCAGAGTTCACTTCTCATTTGCTTTTATAAAAATCAAATTTCCTGTAATTGTTTCAATGTAATCTTTTCAGGAGAAAAGGGGAGGGGAAAAAAGAAACACTCTCTGAACTGATATTTAACTGTTTTCAGGGGGTTATGGGGTGGATACTGTCTTGGGGGGTATAGTGTGAGGCTGATATCCAGGATACTATAGTTAAAGCAAGACCCTTCCCGGTTTCTCCAGATCTTGGCCATCTCTCTTTTTGGCTATCCTGAGTCATCCAAGGGTCACCTGAAAGCTCCCATCTCCTGTTTGCCTGCTCCTCTCTTCTCCCTGCTCCCTATAAATGGAAGAATTAGAGGACTTTATTCTCTAAGGGAAGTTTATCAAGCATATAATATGATATTTGGGTAAGCAGAGTTTTAGTTCTAGACATTTACTGTGCTTACCTGTGCTTCAGTGTTGCAGAAATGCTCCTATGTTTGTGTTTTCAAATGTTAGATATTCTGGTTTCTCTCCCAATAGAACTTACTTTGTGTATCATTTTTCACATGCATCCTTAAATGGTTGCTTAAACCTCTCCTTCATGTTATATTTAATGTTAGTTTCTTCCCGTTCTATCTGTTCTCATCTCTCTCTGCTGTATGTTTGTGACTGATGGAACAAACTATTTTTTCTTATTCTTCTTACTTGTGTCAAAGACCCCAGAAACTACCACAGAGTAAAGAGTCCAATAGACAATCGAATCAGCTCAATCTGTGTTCAAATCGTATGAACCTTCAGTCGCAATATCGTCCATCATTCTCAGCCTCAGACTCCCTGTTGGTGAAATTGGGATCAGAACCTACAGCACTCATCAAGTACTCATCATAGTTGGGAGAATTCATTGATGACCACATAGTAAATTCTAAAAGACCTGCCTTGCTAATCTCTGTTTGGATTCTGATTTTGCTCTAGACAATAGAGAGCTATAAGTAACTTAATTAAATTTGTTTATAACTATAAATTTTATTTTAATTCCTGGTACTTTGCTCATAAAGTCACAAGTCAGATAGTTAATCAGTTTGACTGCAAATCTCAGAGGATTGTTAGGGAGCTAGGGACAGTCTCATCTCTGCCATTTTTCCCTTGGTAGATATCACTAGCCGAAAAGGTGAGAAAGCTGTGACAGGTGAGTCACAAGTGGGCACAGCATTCTCCCTGGGTTGACATTCTCCTTGCATTGTAGCCTCGAAGATCCTTGTGAACTTAAGTCTGGCCTCTCTAAGAACAGAGTGGTTTTTCTTCCTCCTTTAAGCTTAGCATGAAAGAGAATTGAACACTGTAATGATGATTTTTAACTTGTGTGGCATACCCATCACTGCTGACCATTTCAGCCTTTCTAACCTAGACCCAAAGCAGGCCTCTCCCTGGCTGCACTTCATGAATATTCTGGCATTTTTGTAGCTTAGCAAATGGGCTTTTCAAAAAAGATGGGTGGAATCATAACACGCTCACATCTTTGTCACTTTCGTACCCAAAATGCTAAAATTGTACAGTATTTTCAAACTCCTAGTGAGAGAAAAAGAGTGTGTGACTTGGCACCAAAGTGGAAAGTAAGTGTTCTAAGAAGACCCTCAAAGTTGTGACCTGAATATTATTCTGAATGTAACCAGGTCTTGGGGGTCGGTTATTTTTATAAAAAGCCCATCTGTGATGGAACAGGAGTTTCTAGCATGGTAACACCCAGCTGTTGCTATTTAAGAAGGGTGATGAGTTTCCCATTTCTGGAATGCCTTCCAGCTCTGCTTGCATTGCTTCATTTCTTTAAAGTTTCACACAATAGACACACATAGCAGAGTGAACATTTAGAATTTGGTTTGGGGGGTATATTTTTGTTTGTTTGTTTGTTTGTTTGTTTTTGAAATGGATGTAACAATATGCATTAGTCCCTGGAGATCAAAACAAATATGTCAAGTCTGTAAAAAGAGTTTCCTTCCCTTACAGAGGGGCTTCCTTAAGAGATTAGGCTGAGGTTGGTGGAGGTGGTTAGAAGGACTGACCTGGCTGATTTGCTTAGAGCTTCCTATTTCTTGATGATTTTGCCATGAGAGGCGGGAAGCTTTTCGTTTTACCATGTGTCTTGAGATGAGGATCACCAGCCCTGCTGGCCTCTGGAATTCATTGAAGCGCCTCCTATGCCCTGGAGGGACAGGTGGCCGATTGTGAGAGAAACTTTCCATGGTGGACTGCTCCTTGGTATAGGACCTGACCTTGACCTTGATGGTGACAGAATTCCTGTTCTGTAATTAAAAGTAAATCAGAACCACCAGTGGTGGGAGGATGGGGGCTGACAGGGACACTGGAGTGGTGGTGTGTACCCTGTGTCTCAAGCCTGTGTTCGCCAGCCAGGCAGAGTGTGTCACGGGCTTTACTGTGTGTGTTTTAAGCAGAAACGAGTCATGAGGGCTTTAATAGAAAACATCTCGAACAATCCATGAAATGGTAAACAAATCTGCTATAGAAAGGAAGAAAGAGAAGTTGACAATTGCATTATTGTGATCCTGGTGGGTTCATCATCTTGGGTCGAGGAATAAAGAGAAAGGAGATAAAAGAATCGGGTAAAATGAATTCAGTTGTGTCATTCCTTTCTTCCTTTGTCTTCCATTTACACCTGGTAATGAACTCAGGGAGCCTCTGAGATATTGTTCGCATTTTCCTTTTGTTTTATTTGGTGTGTGTGGCAGGTTTGTTTACAATTTCCAAAGGGTTTTTTTTTTTTTTTCTCAATCTCAAGGAATACGAATTGAAGAGTGGGGAGAGGGGCAGAAGAAGGGCAGGTAGTTTAGTATTGTGAAGATGGGAGGTGGCCCCAAAATATGGGAGCCCCTTCTGCTTTTGTTTTTCATTTCTGAGAAGCCAACTGGACGGATGGTACTCATTTCATCAAATATGGGTTTTACAGAATTCCTCCATGTTCTGCCTCGGGGGATCGTGCTTTGGAAAATTAAGTGTCTATCAAATCAGAAGGCAGCTGATACAGTGTCTCCCCATCCCCCTGGTATTGGAAAGGCTTGAGAAAAGAAGCCTTTGTTTTCTTTTCAAGGGAAGTTATTCTGAACTTCATCCGTGTAGCATTCATGGATTTCATTTGTGTCATTTACAGATATCTGTGTGTTAGCCAGGACTGTGCTGTTGAATTTTTAACCTGGGCATTCCGAGCATTGTGTTGGGGAAAGGTTCAAACCCTTTCACTTTCTGTTGTTTTGTTTTGCTTTTTAAAAAATATTTTATTTAAAAAAGGAACACTGTCCTTTTCCTCCTCCCATCTACATCAGATTTCTTCACCTCGAGTGTGCCACGGACGTGTCTCAGGTTGAAGATTTCTGCCTGTCATTTTCGACAGTTGCCTACGAATGGCAAACTTTAAAATGCTTTTCAGGGAAACTTGTTTGGAATTTCATTTCAATGGGATTTATGAATAAATCTCCATCTTAATGCTGACTAAGCTTTAAACATCCATTCCAGGAGAATGCTATTGGATTTTCACATTTTAAAATTTTAAATCACTTGACTGTGCAGGCATAAAACATTTTTATATTTGTGAGTGCCATGTGCTTGAGCATTTCTGTTAAAGACCTTTTAAAAAATGGTTTTATTTGGGGGGTTGTCTTGAAGAAGTGAGGGCTTCCTGGAGTGGGAGATTGCATCACCCTGCACCGTAGACCCTTATGTACGTTAGATGGATTATTGGTCTCATCCACAGGATGGGTGTTCTGTTGTAGCCTGCTGGCCCTCGTTTAACAAACAGTTTAGCTTTTTCCTTCACTTTGAAGCCATTAACCTCAGAGTTTATTTCTTTTTTAATTCTGTATGCCCTCAGAGGTTGATTAAAAAAAAATGACACTTCCGCCCCTCCTGGCTTTTTCCCAGGTCTGTAGAGCACAATGTAAATGAAAATGAAGGGAGAGGGTCCTAATTGCCACCTTTCCAAAGAATAATGCTTGAAACCAGTGCTGGGGGGTGGGGCTATCATGTGCCCAACACCCCCCTCCCACACCACTGTGGTCTCTGTGTCCGGTGTCATTGTCCCCCTCTGTCCACAGATTCATCCTACTCCGAGCCTCCAGATGTTCAGCAGCAGTTGAACCACTATCAGTCGGCCGCCCTGGCGAGGAATAACAGCCGGGTTAGTCCTGTTCCACTTTCTGGGGCTCCTGGTGGCACAGAACAGAAAACTGAAGCTGTTCTTCACTGCGAATTCTGTGAATTCTCTTCTGGCTACATCCAGAGCATCAGGCGCCATTACCGGGACAAGCATGGAGGGAAGAAGCTCTTCAAGTGCAAAGACTGCTCCTTTTACACAGGCTTTAAGTAAGTGACATCAGGAATAGCCTAGAGGGGACAAGATGGCTGCATCTGCTCCACCTCACACACTCTCCTACCTTCATCCCAGGGAAGGTCCTGTCCCTCTGGGGTTGGAGCCAGTCTTGACAAAAGGAGACTAGTCCCGAAAACCTGCTTTGGGGTTTGAGGAAATTATGAAGCGTTTTATCAGAACACTTGAGTTAAAAAATCAGAGCAAATGAACACCCGAGTAGTGTAAAGTCATAGTAAAAGATTTCTGTGGCCCAGTGTGTACAGGATCGAGTGTTTTCATTTGTAGAACCGTTACTTCCCACCTCCTCAGGACCCCCCTCCTTTTTGGATCTATCTTTGGGAAGAAAAGATGATGAAAGTAGAATCGAGAGACTATCTAGCAATATTGACTTCTCAGCTGCACTTATCAAAATCATTTTTATGTGTTTGGGGGCCACACCCTCCTGGCTTTATGCTTGGGGGCTGCTCCCAGTCAAACTCAGTGGACCATGTAGTGCTGAGCATCTGATCCGGGCTTTCTGCATGCAGAGCATATGTTTCACCTATTGCACTATTTCTACAGCCCAAAAACTATTTCATAAGATCCTGTTATTGAAAGATAAACAGAGAAATGAGACTAGGGCACTAGGAAGACTAGAAGAGCAGTCACAGATTGTTCTAATCTAGAAAAAGGTTGCTGGGGCCACCTACTATGACAGAATGGGTGAGTTCAATTAAAGAATGGGTGCTTCCTTGTATTTATTACAAGTATTTAATCTAATTATGCATTCTTCTATTAGATAAGATCCTCTTTAGGTTAGTGGTTGTAATAAGGTGGGGCCCGAGCGATTATACAGGGCATTTGCCTTGCATGCAGCCAACTCAGGTTCGACCCCTAACATCCCATATGGTCCTCCCAAGTACTGCCAGGAGTAATTCTTAAGTGCAGAGCCAGAAGTAACCCCTTAGCATTGCCAGGTGTCACCCAAAAAGCCAAGAAAAAAAAAACGGTTGCAAGATTGTCATGCCTGACTGGCTGGGTTTGAGTCCCAGCTTTCCCACTTGTTGACTGTGTGGTTTTGAACTAATCACTCAGCCTTTCTGTGCCTCCAATCTCCAATTTGTGAAAAAAGATAAAGGCATAGCTGCTGCATCTTAGGACATTAGTGAGGAGTAAACTAACCTGTGTATCTGAAGCGTTTAGAATAGTGTCTGACACCCAGGAAAGAATAAATGTGTTACCATGTTGTAGATAGAAAGCTACTATAATATTATTACAGTAGATGCTATATTACTAATATAAGACTGTTGTTATCTGCTCCCATCGTGGTCAGGAGCTGAGCCTTAGGCCACGCTGCCCCCACACAGAGAGGCTTTTGAAAGTAGCCTTCATGCTCCAAGAAAAACATGAAAGGGAAGAACAAATCTTTTTCCACCAACGTCAGAGTTCCTAGGATTTGATGGAAAGTGGGTTATACCGCTGGCTGTTCACGTGATTCACTTATTTTGCACATAAATATGCATGCAACCTTAGAAGAGGAAGAAGGTTAAAGGGCCCAGATAACAAGGATGCACTGACAGACACGTGTTGCCCCCAGAGAGAGGAGTCGGGTTATTAAAAAGGGATCCATGCCCATTATATTCAGTTTCATCCGTCTTTATGAGCCAGCTTGACCTTCCTCATTTAGACTGGCATGAGGCTCTTAGGTTACTTTACTGCGGCATCAACCTGCATGACTGCAGCCTTGAAGGTCCTACCCCTAGCCCTTACCCGGGCAGAAATAGGCCGTGGTTGGTTGGATTAGTCTGGCTGTAAGTCAGTCTCTCTCCTTCCATGCACAAGTGAGCCTTGTGCTTTCATACTTGTAATAGGCATTTACTAATTTTTAAGAACAAAGTGTTCGGGGGGGTAGCAGGGGAAGGGGGTTAACTTTTGTTTTTATAGGTGCCACAGCCAGTACTGCTGTTGGGACATCTGGTGGGCTGGGGATCAAACTCAGAGCTAGCTCCCAGGCACTCAACCCAGAACCCAACCAAAGTGGCAGATTTTCTCAAAATCTATTCCCACGGCCTATCCCTTTCCGGGATGGAAGCAGTGACCAGGGCACCCATGTTCAGTCCAGCATGATGGATGACATGATGTCAGGATGCTCAAGCAGTGTGGTACCTGGGAACTCCCTGTTTGTTTGGGCTGCTGGCAGGGGCTTTGGGGGGTGTGGCCCGGCCCTTACCTCCTTCCCCTCCTCTCCTCAGATCTGCTTTTACTATGCACGTGGAAGCGGGCCACTCAGCGGTGCCCGAGGAGGGCCCCAAAGACCTGCGCTGTCCTCTCTGCCTCTATCACACCAAATACAAACGCAACATGATCGACCACATCGTGCTGCACCGAGGTAAGCCTCCACCCTCCAGGGTCTTGGGCTGTGTGGGGGGGGCGGGACACAGGTGGCAAACGAGGCTGGCCTCTTGAGCCGGAGGGGGCCTCTTCTCCCTGACCCCTGGTTCCCAGCTGATCTCCAGACAAGACACCACAGAGAGGGCCAAGTGACAGGATAAAATGCCTTCCCGCTGAGAGGATTTCCTCCACCTGGAGGGAGGCAAAGGTGATGGTTTCTGCCTGAACGCACAGCGGGACTTCGCAGCATGAGGGGGGTTGACACTCCAGATCCTCTGCTTGCAAAACCAACCGGGTGTACAAGGAGCCACAGGAAGGAGCAAATGGGAGCTAGAAAGAGGTGGTGGGTGGGTGGCCTGGTAAAGGCATGTTAGGAAATGTGGCGACTAGTGACAGGTGTGGGGGATGAGGTGGAGGGAAGCACTTCTTCCAGAAAGATCAAAAGTGATCGTTTCCCAAGCACAAAATGGAATTTTCCTGGAAAAGGATACAGAGAACAGTCTTAACGATAAGTGGCCTTATCTTTAAGACCTACTTAAAGGAAATATGAGACCTAGTCTTCCCACTGGACTTCAAGTTTGTGTTCTGATATAAAAGTTTCCTTCGTTTTATAGTATAAAGATGTCGACTGCTCTCCGTTTAGGGAATAGGGAAGTTCTGGAATATTCCATAAGGAAGAGAAAAGGCAACAGATATCCATCCCTGCTGAGAACAAACAGTGATGCTTCTTTTTTTCTTTAAGCACTCTTGGGTTTTCCTCTGAGTTGAGTCTACTCTTAGCCCGTTCGGACACAGTTCAACAACAGGTTTCTCTGCATGGAAAGAGAAATCTGTTTATGTTAAGAAGCTTTGTTCTGAAAAGCTGAAAGTAGCTAGAGAACTTTCTGGATTGCTGTTGCCAATCTCTCTGGGGCTGTTTCTTTATCTTTCCATCTCTCCTTTCCTACCTGTCTTCCTCTTTTTTTCCCGTCTCTCTTCCTCCACGGAACTGAGAATACTATTTACTATTTGCCCATAGGTGTCCAAAAAATCAGTGAATCTCTTTGCTGTCTGACTGAAATGTCACTCACTCTGAAGTATTGGACATAGGGGGTAGAGGGCTAGGTCCTAGTTGCCTGGATATTTCCAAAGTTTCCCACATCTTTCCAGAGCCTTTGGCATGTACATTTTGTGACAATTCACCCTTCTTTGAGGAGAGCACTCCTGGCTAGGACATCCACTGGTAAGCTGGGACAATCTGCACAGGATGTTTCTGGCAAGAATTCTTGGCCTGAGTCGTCCCACCTGCTGTGCTGCCTCGGTCACTCGCCACTGTTCTCCCAGCCCATGTGTCCCCCTGGCTCTGTGCCCCTTGCAGTTGGAGAGAGCATGAGTGGGGTCACTGCAGAGCAAACAGGTTGAAATCAACTAATGCCCGCCTCCGTTCCATCCCCACTTCCCACCACTTCCCTTGCCTTTTGGCGTAGACTCCTCCATTTTTCTAAGACTACTATCTGGTGAGAGCACAGCACTGACACTTACTGATCACCACGACTTTTCATCCCTGAGACAGATTTCAGGTGGCAGGGAGGCACATGGAAAAATTCAGTGCCAGGACAGTACGTGCCATCCTGGCCAAGTGCCTTGCACAGGGTCCCCTCTCTTTTGGTGGCAGTATGAGGGATGTTGTTTATAGCCCCATTCTACTAGGGTCAGTATGGAGGTTAGGTGATATCTGCTTTTTCTTTCATTTGATGTCGTCGTTTGTGGTCGTTGTATTGAGGTGTTACAGGTATTGTGATGAGGAGTTTATCGTGATGAGCTGTTCTCTGGGCTTACTCCTGGCTCTGTGCTCTGGGATCACTCCTGACAGGGTTCAAGGATCCTATGTGTTGCTAGAGATCAAACCAGAGTCAGTCACGTGCAAGTGTAAGGCAAGTGCCTGCCCACTGTATTATCTCTCGGGTCATATTACAGTTGTCTTACTGTAGAGCTATGGGATTTTAATTTAATTTTTTTGTTTGCTTTTTGAGCCCAATCCCATGGTTCTCTGTGTCTACACCCAGCTTAGTGTTTGGGAGGATGGAACCAGGATCTCCCACATCCTCAGCATAGACTCTTGTCCTTTGAACTATCTCCCCAGCCAGAACAATTGAGGAAGTGAGGGAAAATGCAGACTTAAGGAGACCCCAAGTTGACTGAGATTTAGGGTGCGAGGTGCTGCAATGGTGCCATTGGTGTGAAGCAGTCTGCTGTTGTAGTTGAGATGCCTGCCTATAGTGGAAAGAAGAAAACAGATTGTGTTGCACTGAGGGCATTTCGGAGGCTTTCTTGAAACATTAAAAAAAATTGTTTTTCAGAGACCCACACACTGAAGTCTGAAAGGAATTTCTAAAGGGGCTCAGTTATCGTAGAAAGCATGTGGTCCCTACTACATCAGGATGGTGATCTGTCTATAGGTCCCCGAGACCTGACGTAGCTTAACCCAAGTCTCCTGAGCAGTGAGCATGGACACATCCAGTGAGCCCCACTGTCTCAGGCCCCCTCCCTCATAGTCCTCATACTCCTGTCACCAGTTATTACAGTCCCAATTGTCTTTTTTTTTTTTTTTTTTTTTGCTTTTTGGGTCACACCCGGCGGTGCACAGAGATCGTTCCTGGCTCATGCACTCTGGAATTACTCCTGGCGGTGCTCGGGGGACCATATGGGATGCTGGGAATCGAACCCGGGTCGGCTGCGTGCAAGGCAAACACCCTACCCGCTGTGCTATCGCTCCAGCCCCCCAATTGTCTATTTATGATGATCTTTTCTATCAAAGGAGACATCTTCACTGGGGTCTGTATTTCAGGAATCATCTGGATTGAACATGAGCTGTTGAGGACTGGTAGGAACAATCATAGCTGTGATTATTCTACACTTAGTTACTTACTGGGTAACAGGTACTATGACAAGCGCTTTCCCATATGTTATTTTTTGGAAGTCTCACCCGAGCAGATCTGTGAAGTATTGCAATTCTCCCTGATAACAAAGGAGAAAGTAGGTTCTGGAAGATCAAATGACTGATCTAAGGGTCAATGGGTAATAAGTGACATGTCTGGCCACAGGTCAAGTGTGAGCTATTGGGTGTGGTTTTCCCTTGGGAAGGTGCTTTGTGTTACCCTGTGGTCCATTCTAGTAACTGGCAGTTTTGTCGTAGATAGAATGACATGTGAGACTAGAAGTCAGAGACCAAGATCTCTTGACCCAGAGAGATATTGGGTGCTTTAGGCAGCCATGTCTACCATCTCTGTCCTGGCCAGACTATGGTGTCTGTCTCTACTCAGAATGACAGGCCAGTGGGAAGCTGGTCTTGGACAAATCAAGAGACAGTGTTGGGTATCTCCCTGGCAATTTTCAGTGGAGACTGATCTCAACGTAACAAGATGTGGCTCTTTATGCACCTGTGTTCTCCTGGCTCTATGGATGAATAAACATCCTTGGTCTCTAGGGCCTACTGTAAGAGATCTTCCTGAGGCCTTCGTTAATTAAAGTGCTTGGGATGAAAGGCTTTCAGAAAAACAGCTTCTGAACTGGCCCTGAGACTGTGCCAGTGCTTGCAAGCACAGTTGCCTTAACTTTTGTCCAGAAAAATTGATATATTTAAATGGAGTAGAAAGAGAATCCACTTCCTTTGTGGAACATGTGGAAGATTATTTCATGGATTTAGGTTGGCAGTGGCAAAAGATTGCCTTCCTCTGGTGCCTGCGTTTAACAAACATGCCACACAAGGTCAAATTCTTTGAACAAAAACATGAATCTGCAAAATTCAATTCCTACCCACCTTAAAAGGAGATAGAGCATATGCATCAGGAATAGATCTAGGACAGCTAGTGGAGTCACAGTAGCATTTAGGTGTCTAGGTGGCATTTAGGTATCTAGGTATCTAGATTCACAGTGACACTTCCATTTCTGTTTGTGTAAAGGGAAGTGGTCTTGGGAATGACAGGGGTGACATTCACCTGAGCTGTTAGACTTCAACAGGCAAAGGAGACTTAGTAGGGGATGTTTCATCCATTGGCTGAATGATTTAAAACAAAGTAATCTCTTATTCATACTTCTGAGTGGAAAGCAAGGTGTCACCAGGGTTTCACCTGGGCAGAGGGTCTTTTCTCTGAAAGATCTAGAGAAAAATGACTCTTTTGCTTTTCGTAGTTTCTAGTGGCTCTTGATTTGCCTGGTATTTCCTCCCTGAAAGCCACATGTCCTGCCACTCTGCCTCTGGCCTCAAAGGGAATGATTTCCTACCCTTCAAGGCAGCCTATATCTCCATATGCCCTTACTCTTCCTGCAAGAGTGCCGCTTGCTAAACATGGGCCACCTGCATCCAATTTTGACCTTGTTTTCACTATGACATCAGCAAAGTTCTAGGTACTCCTAAGTTCATATATTGTCCATTTGGATGTAAGTTCCTGGGAGACACTCTTTGATCCACTACATGGGTTTAGTTGTAAGCGACTGGGAGAAATAACTAAACAAACCATAACCCACTCAGATGAGTGGAAAATGTGTTCATATACTAATAAATTCATGTCAGATAGTTCTACATACCTGAAGGGAATCAGAAGCAAGACTAGAACCTTCTGCTCTGAAGTCTTTGGATACCAAGGTAGAAATGTGCGAATTTCCCAGCAGAAAGATGGAAAACTCAATTCTACAGAAAGTCTTAGTGAATACCAAATTAGCAAAGGACTAGAAAAACTATCCCTTTCAAGAACCCAACATGTGGACCAGATATACCTTTTAGGTGAGCCAGGGTTGAACCAGTTTAACCAGGAAAAAACAAAACCCGAGGCTTTTGTTTTGAGAACAAAGTTTATGTTAGGACTCTTGTTAGATTTTGATTCATGCACCAAACAGGTGTGGAATAGCAGCTGAGCGCAGGCACTTACAGTCCATCAGCGGGACTTTAAGTTCTACAGATACAGCCATGAAGAGTCAAGCAAGATTTGTTTATGGGAGGAACTTCAGTGGGGTTCATAA